TTTAATCTTCCAAATAGACAATGATACCCGTAAAATAATACATGCATTCATCCTATGTCATCCTATCCCATTGTATAAGAAGGGATCATGACACGCCTTTTCGCATTAAATACAAATGACCATACTGTAGAATATTTTCCCCTAAGCAAAAATAAGCAGATTTTCACATTCCCGCTTCCCCAACTTGGTATTGTTTTGAAGCGAGTTTTTACTGTGACAGTTAGCTCGTCGAAGCATCCTCAAAATCAAACATTATATACACTGACATAGTGAGTAATAAGTGTATCCCTCTGGTGGTCAGTGCTACTACCCGTCAGACATAAGTGATGTCTTAGTGACTGATAGTTACCTGCAAAGCAGGTACCAAGAAGAGCTGCCACCTCTAACCCTGGTGGTCTAAACTATATAATGAATGAGATTTACAGGAAATAACTACTCAGCAGACAAAAGCCCCAACCAGCAAGTCCTGTTTGGTAGCTAAGACCATTTGTTAGTTCTTCGCTAGACATAGACTGATTTCGAACATATGTTCTCATCAGTATTCCATAAGTAATGGAAAAGACAAATAATAATAGCAAACCAGGCTAGCCCAAAGCAGACTTAGCAAGACAGACATAGGAGTGACAAATGTATCCTTCTGGTGGTCAGTGTTACTACCCGTCAAGCAACACTGATGTCTTAGTGACTGATAGCAACCTGCAAAGCAGGTACCAAGAGCTGCGACCTCTAACCCTGGTGAGCTAAACTATATACTGACGTCAGTCACTAAGGCATCAGTAAGATCTGACAGGTAGTAACATTAACCACCAGAGGAATACACTTATCACTCACTATGTCTGTCTTGCTTAGTCTGCTTTAGGTTAGCCTGGTTTACTATTATTAATTGTCTTTTCCACTATTTATGGCACACCGACGAGACCATAACAAGTTTGAAATCGGTCTATGTCTAGTGAGGAATTGACAAATGGTCTTAGCTACCAAACAAACTTGCAGGTTTAATTCAATGCAGGGGCTTTTTGTCCGCTGAGTAGTTGTTTCCTGTAAATCTTATTCAGTATATACACTATTTTACATCATTTCGTTATTTTTTTGGCAATAGTTATAAAAGTTTTTTGTCAACAGCGTATGCCCTTGCATGTCATTGACTACTTCCCAATTTTTATATTATGTTTTTTAAATTTTTATGTTTAGGAGTTGTTAATGTTTTAGTTTTAAACCCGGACTGGCTCTTGTCACCGCCATACGCGGGGATGCTAGGTCGACAACAGATAGTGTGTCCGGCGAGGGACATACACATTGTTTTTCTTTAATTGTTAATCAATTGTTTTGAATTTAAATGAATTGGATTTGTGATATTGTGTACTTCTATGTCACGGGGATGACCTGGAACAATTGAATATCGTGTAAAGCAGAGTAGTACAGAATATGGCATATAACAAGATGTTTTGATCCACTCCTTTAATTAGAACAAGATTATGAAACCACAGGAACTGAGCAGGATTATTTATGGCAGCAGAAAAGGCTGCAGAGGAATTTGATCTCGTATTAGATTTCACGCGAAGTTCTGACACACGAGCTTAAGCCAAATTATCTGAATGTTTAAATTAAAGCTATCGAACAGGAAATCGGTTTCGGCAGCTTGTCGATAAACCCCAACAAACATTTGCTTCCTTCCAGTCGCGAAATTGATGGTTTCATCCACGCTAAACTAGACGTATTTGTTATTCAGTTCAGAATATTTTTTTATTTAATACTATCACATTTCTATGATAAATAATTTTTCTTGGTGTCGTTTTCGATGGTACCTGAACACTTCTATATTACCAACTAGTAAAATTTGCAAAAATTGTCTAAACTAGTTAGTAATTATCTAGGTTCTCAATCTAAGTTAAAATGTATTTGCCTGTCACTATCAGTAACAATTATGACTAGAGCTGTCCGAGGTGGCTGGAGTACAGCCACGGTCTTGCGATGGCGTCACACGTGCCGATTTAGAAGTGATTTACGCTGCAGTCTTATTTGAAAGGTTAATGAGTGAGGTTGCACCTATAAATTATACATAATGTCAAACGCGCCAAAGGGGTAAAAGACGACCGTACGCGGACATAGTGAATAAATTTATCGGTGAATTTCCGGATTTATTCTATGACGGATGCAAAATAATTTGTAAAGTTTGTAATCAAGACTTAATGTGCTGGCACAAAACAGATTGTCGTCGTCATCAACACCGTGCAACATCAAAATAAAAAATGGCATGCCTTTGACAACTCAGTTTATGTTTGATTTATTGTTAATGTTAATAGCCTGTAATATTCCGCTACACATACTGCATAAACAACCATTTCGGAAGTTTTTGGAATAAATACAATCCCCAGGTGAACTTACCAAGTCGTACATCGTTACGTAGATATATTCCAGCTGTTCGTGAAGACATTGTAAATAAGATTAAATGTGGATTAAAAAATACACGGCTCTGGTTATGTATTGACGAGACGACAGATTGTAAAAAAAATTCTATTTTAAATATTATAGTACGTGTACTGGGCCCTCTTAAATTAACATTTCCACTTTTACTAGCTAGTAAAAGACTAACTGCGTGTACTGGCGAAATAATTACGCGTGGGGTGTTGGAGACATTCGAAAAATTTGAACTTTCAACAAGTCAAGTATTGATGTTTGTGACTGATGGTGCTGCGACAATGCGCATGGTAGGCTGTTCTTTTCAAAGAGACAATTGTAGGTTTTTACATGTTACGTGTAAAGTGCATGCGTTACATCTTGTGGCAGAAACGATTCGAAAATGTTTTCCAGAGGTAGATGCATTAATAGCAAATACAAAAAAGTTTTTCTCAAATCTCCTAAACGGCTTGAGCATTTCACAGACAGTGTCCTGGTATCCCTGAACCACCAGAGCCGATTCTTACACGTTGGAGAACGTGGTTGAAAGCGGCTTTTTATTATGCTGAATATTTTCAACAAATAAAAGCTGTGATACTACAATTCAATCCTAACGAGGTTGCAGCTATTAGGGAAAACCAGACAAGCTTTCAAGACGTTTCCCTTAGAAAACAGATTGAAAAACTATTAATAACAATTATAGAGGACTACACGACGCAATAGAAAAATTGCAAAATAGTTCGTTGCCGTTAGTGGAATCGCTGCAAATAGTGGACGACGTAAATACACAGCTACAGGCTATAAATGACGCAAAAAATAATCGCGTTAGTCAAAAATTCGAGAGTGTATTACAGAAAGATCCTGATTTTAGCAAATTAAGACAAATTTGTGATGGTGCATCTACAACTTCGTTAAGTGAGTTCACAGATTGTTTTACTTATGCCTGTATTACATCCGTAGATGTCGAATGGTCATTTTCAAAATGCAAAACATATTTTTTCACCAAAGCGAACATCGCTGACGGAGACAGCTGTAGAAACATACCTGATGCTATTATACTATAGATCTTCCCCACTTTGTGATGACGACAACCAAACTACTTCATAAATCTGCTTAAAAGGGTGAGTTTTATACAAATTTTTATAAAATGTAACATTATTGTTAAAATTTATTTCCATTTACTGTACTTATTCAAGTATTATGATATGATGTAAACATATGAGTCATATGACGGCTCTGTCGGCCAGGTGACCTCGGACAGCTCTAATTATGACTGTCTGAGGAAATGTGTCCCTTAATATTTACTTTGACGTTGTTACGTAAGCACTTTTTTACAGCTTGTGCAATATAATTCTATGACGATAAATTGCAATTCAGGAAAATTACTAATCCAAAAGTTCACTTTATCCTCTGAAGGAATTGAACAAGACATTTTAAAGAGGTTAACCTCCGTTTTCTTTAATTTCGTACTGTTTAGCTACATGTTATTCACATAGATGTTTTATAAATACTATGTATTTAAAACGTATTCATTTTCAACATGGGGCAGTGGGCGTAAACTTGATAACCAAGCAACGCGATGCACCTATATATCTATATGCATTCACATTGCTATTGGATACTTGACAATAATGAACATTTCCCTGTCAAAATGACGGTCAGTAAGTAATTATTTTTTATATTTGCAGACCGCCCAATTACTTGATAACAAATTTTAAATTTTTGTTACCATATTTATATAGAAGAAATTTATTGCGTAGTACATCATTTCATATTGTTTGGAAATATTTCATTAGATGTTTACAATATTATATTATATCTACATAAAAGTCGTCTCTGGAATTTATCGCTACCTCCCGATCTCTAGATGGAAGACATTTGACAAATGTTTCTAAACAATAGTATGATTTCTCGAAAATTTGTGTTTCCTCACGATTACTGTAAGTGTAAGTTTTGATGAAAAACTATTTTACAAAAAATTAAATCTGTTTAAAAATTGACACATTGTAATTTACATTATATTAAAAAAGTAGTTACAAATAAAATAATTGTATTTTCATACCAATTGGTTGGCATCTTTGTTGTGGGCGAACTGAGCAACTAACCCTTCTATAAATTTCTAGAGAAGCGGTCATTGCATGATAATAAATAACATGGGTGACGGCCTCTTAGGTGAACAATATATTGCATGGGAGAATTGCTTAAGAGCAGATGTACAAAATGAAGAGGCATTTGCAGCTATATGTGTTTAAATTAACATCGCTTTACAGCTCACTTCTACTACAGATAATCCTCTCGAAACCTGTACAAAGAATAACTCGTTCCAGCTACCCTATCAAATTTAGGAAAATCGACAAATAAATAACAAACTTCTAGCAGTATTATTTAATTTTTCGTATCATGCCTATTGCTAGAATATTTGTATCATAATTATCAAATTAATTACACAGTAGGCCAAAAAAAACCGGTAAAGATTTTGTTATAAAACAACCCACTGTATCCTTGAAGGTACCTTGCGCGGGAGAGGGCTACACATTTAGAGACAATGGATACACGACCAATGTCCGAATATGCCAGGATTAATTTCTGATTTAGAAAAGTCCTAGCTTCTCGACCGGGGATCGAACCCGGGACTGCAGGATTAGAAACAAGTGTCTTTACCACTCAACCACGAAGCCTCGTACTTCCAATAATAATTAGTCAATTCAAATAATTCTTAGGGAAAACGAAATGCTTACCCTTTGGAAATTGAAGACATAACTTATTTTCAATAGTACTACGTTTTAGTTTCAATTTACTGTAGCTTGTCAAGGTTTGCAATGAGTCATTTTAAAAGACCGATCAGCTCTATACAATTTCGCCATTGTTACATAAGACAAGACGTTATGCAATATACTGACAAGCTGCATGTGATTTACCCCTTCCCGTTTTTCTCAGTTGACTCACAGAGCGCAGGTACCTACATAAATTTCCAGAATTGCCATAGTGTGGTGCAATTGGAAGAGAATCTATTACGTTTTTTATTTAATATAGTACGTTTTCCGCTAAAACTAGTTTACATATTGACATTTTAAAATTAAATAAAATTAACTTTCATCATGTTGTACGAATTTCTGTTTTTCTGTTGTTTGGGAATGTTTCAGTAGGTGTTTACAATATAATATTATGATTGCATACGAACCGTCACTGGAAACCGATACCTACGTCCGAGCTCTAAATTATTATTGGAAATACGAGGCTATAAAATCTGTATATTTTTTTCACCCACTGTATATATCGTAATTTAATTATAGGTATCTACATCACTATCTACTGTACTCGGCACACAGGTCAATCAGAGCGAGATAATCTGAAAGTGATTATAACTAGTTTTAGTCACCATCATTTCATACTAATATTCACCAACTCAGAGCTGGCTTAACTGCAATCCACTAATATAGAATTGACATCCTTATTTTATACCTAAAGAAATTCACATCAAATGCTTCAAAAATAAAAAAGAAAGCGACGCAGCTACGGGTACCAGTGTTTCGAAATTATTTTTCCATATCCATCCACGCAGCTCGGCTTAAAAATAGAACAAATACGTAATAATAATTAAATTATCAGAAGAAAGCACATAATGCACAGTATTTACGCCTTTACTTTCATCAACTACCGTCAAACGGGGTGTAGCGGACCACGAAGGGTGAAGCGGATCAGCGGTACGATTTTTTTAAATATTCCCGCGTTACGTCTAATTCTGAGCGCCGAGAACCGATATAAGATGTTGAACCATTGAACCACTAACAGGCATCAGCAGTCTTTGTTGCACATGGTGAGTAGCGTTATAGGTTATGTAAGTTTCTCGTAACAAATTTTCAAATATGTAGCGTAAAATACCGACATTTCACAAAGTCCGAAAACAAACTATAGCACACAAAAATTGGCCGAAGTTACATTGGGGTGGTAATCATAGATAGTTAAAATGATCTTTCAACAGCATGTCTATACTCGATTTTTTTTATAGATAGTTTTAGTTGCTCTAGGATGCATTTTTTATGAAAAAGGACATTTCTGTGGGTAAAGCGGATCGCGGGTTTTTTAAACAATATTGACTAAAAAGTTGCCAAATTGTGTAATTTAAGACGGGATAATGAATGATTATATTAAAAACGAGTTATAGTATCAATAATAATAATAACAATAATATACCAACAATATTTTATTTACGGTTTTCAGATAAAATTGCCGAGAAATTATGTGAAAAAGTTAGGAATTAGGGCTAAGAGGACCTATGACCCTGTTTATTTAGACAGAGCAGTGGCGGCGGTTCGTGGTGGACGAATGAGTATGATAAGTGCATCCGAAAGTTATGGAGTCCCATACAGTACATTAAATAGAAAATTCCACGGAGGAGGAGACTGGAAGATACGGTGGACAACCAGCTTTGTCTGACGAAGAAGAGATCAAGTTAGTTGATGTACTTTTATTGTGTGCTGAGTGGGGATTTCCTTTTTAAGAGTTACGACATAAGGTTTATGGTTCAACAATTCCAGAACAGATGTGGCAGAAGGGAAAAACGGTTCAAGGATAATCTGCCGGATATTGATTGGTTCAAGTCGTTTATGTTGAGACACCCCAACTTAACAATAAAATTAGCACAAAATACAAAAAGGGTTAGAGCCGCTGTAACATATGAAGTGGTAGAGGAATATTTTTCACACCTCAAACAATCCGTTGATGGTGTACCGGCTTCGAATATTATCAATTTCGACGAAACAAACTTTGCGGACCATCCGGGTGCAGCCAAAGTTGTAGTTAGACGAGGCGTGAAACATGCTCACCGTATAATTGATACATCAAAATCGAGTACGACTGTTATGTTTGCAATAGCAGGTAACGGCATTTTGCTTTCACCATATATTGTATACAAAGCTAAGCATTTGTATCCAGGATGGACGGAAGGAAGTTATCCAGGGGCAAGATATAATCGGTCGCAAAGTGGGTGGTTTGATAGTGAAACTTTTGAGGACTGGTTCTTAACTATTGCTTTACCCAACTTGCGAACTTTAGATGGGCCCAAGGTTATGATAGGAGATAATTTAAACAGCCATTTAACTGTAACTGTTGTACAACAATGTGAGAACAACAACATAAAATTTGTCCTCCTTCCACCGAATTCCACTCACATGCTACAGCCACTAGATGTGGCCTACTTCCGTCCGTTCAAAGCCGCATAGCGTAAAATGTTAGAAAAATGGAAGCTAAGGTGTCTTGCCAAAGACAATTTTTCCGAGATTGTTGAAAGAAACTATAGATACCGTAGGTGCAAAATCCGAGGCAAATACAGTGGCTGGATTTAAAGCTTGTGACATATCACCATTTCAACCAGATGCTGTTTGAAAAAAATTAACCATCTTAGAACAAGAACAACACAAGAACAAGAAGCTTCTGAACAGCAAGTAGAGAAAGTATTGTGCGATACAGTTGTTGAACATCTAAGTCAAATGAAAACTGGAAGTGGGGAAGCCAAAAAACGTGGAAAAAAGTTAAATGTGCCAGCGGGAAGAAGCGTTTCGGTAGCTGATCTCGTACCAACACTTATAGAAGATGAATTGGAAATTGATATACACCAAGAACATGATTTGAAAAAAGGTGAAACATCCGAAGAAGACACTGCTGAAAGAACAGAGGCAGAAGAATCAAAATCAGGTTGTTCTCTGAATAATCAGTCTGCATTTAATGACTTCGAGGTTGACGACTTTGTTATTGTGAAGTTTGGTACAAATAAAAGAGACAGGCTTTTCATTGCCAAAATTGACGCCGAAAATAAGCTGGATGGTGAATACACAATCAGTGTTTTGAGGAAGAAATCCACCGTAAAAGAAGTGTTTTTCGTGTGTCCAGATGTCCCGGACATTTCTGTTGTCAAAAAAGAACAAATTATGAGAAGAGTCGTGGAAAAGTTAACCCGCAGGGGAAAATATATTTTTGGAGATGTTAGTGATTATGCCTTAGAATAATCAAAAAATTGATATCCTAAGTATTTTTTTCTCGTGATGTTAGTTTTAACAATGTACATAGAATGTGATTTATTTTAGACTTTAAATATATGTTTATGTTTATTTTTATATTTTTTTATACAAAACATGTTTCAAATAAAAAGAAACGTTAATATATTGACCTTTTATAGGCGATTTTTATATGATTTGGGTCTACAACCATGGTTTTTTGTTTTTCAAAAAAATTTTTTTTGATCCACTTCACCCATTATTTGTCTAAAGTGGATTTTAGGCAAAATAAATGAGTGATTCGATTTACCCCCAATTATGGGGTGAAGCGGATCAACTTTTAATAAAAAAAATGTACGAAAGTTGTAAGCTGAATGTTTGGAAAAAATATCTGTTGCATAGCTGAATAGTGAGGTTATAATATATATTTTTTCCAGATTTTTTACTTATAAGGAACATTATATTTACGATAAACTCAAAATTTTTATCCGCTTCACCCCGTTTGACGGTACATCTGCGCTGCAACCTCAAACTCTCTCTTACTCTGATTTTTAAACGTCTCATGACCCATGATCCGAAGTAGCAGATTTCCTTCTGACATTGTTTAATATTTCAGAAACTCTCTGTATATCGAATTATTGAATAATTAACATATTTAAATCAGGATTATATATTATTTTTTTATAATCTCTTATACATGCATTAGTATTTTACTCTGAACTGTTTTAAATTATGTGTAAATGTTACTGCTAATTTGCTAGGTTGAATGTAACATTTTGTTTTAATTAGACATCTTGAAACTACCGCAGCTGCTGTCATAGCCTGCTGCGAGTCATTCAGAAAACAATCCTGAAAACAATTGTAATGTTCCTATCTTACCCTTTAATTTGCAAAGACGCAGGGAGGCGAGGTATTCCTATTCAACTTTGTCTTACAAAAACTGTTGTTTAAAAACATCTTTCCCGTCATGGACATATACACGGTGTTAGAATAGAAATATAAGTGCTATTATTTTAACAGGTGATAATATTGGATTAAAAGTAACAGAACAGAGAAATCTTATCTCGAAAATTTAAACGGTTTTGCCATATAGAAATAGTTTAATTTTGACTTTTACGAATTAATTACTTAATCGAAAAATGTGTTCAAAAATTTTAAGGGGAGATATAGTGCGAAAAGGCAAATAATAAAGTCTGTTACGAATTTTTTTATTTGCTGAAAGGTTTCGGAGAATAAATTGTACATAGAGTTTATATCAAACTAATTTGCAACATAAAAAACATTGGCATCTTTGACTGCGGTAAAGGGATCAAGGTCGCTGATGTTTATTGTGTTGCAAATAAGTTTGAACTTTACTTCAGTAATTCTTAAAATGTGGAATATCCAAGAGCATATGACAACGTCGCATCATAGAATTACCAAATTTCCACTTGAGAAAGACATGTTCAGGCACTCTAAGATTAAAAATTGGTTTCTATTTCGTACCTACCTATTTGCTACGTACATATGCGTACCTATTTGCTGTTGTAATTTAATGTTGTTTATTTGAAGAATTTGTAAAATTGTAATGTAATTTAATGTTGTTTATTTGAAGAATTTGTAAAATGGAAGGTTTACAGTTTGATAACGTATTAATTTATTTACCCATGCTAACCAAAATGAGATTTATACATATTTTTAGATTA